GCACGAGAATGCAGGGACCCTTTTTCCAACTGGATCCCTGCTCTTTTTCGCCCTCATGTCCCTCCGTTGTCGCACAAATTTTCCACTTCCTCACTGCCTCAGGCGTTTCAAGACCCACAGGTAGTTCATGATTGTCCCTCTTGCGTTGTGGCATGGAATAACATAGAGCAGAACAGGCTTCAAATTGGTCATAAATCAAAAATATCTGCGTCAAGAGACGAGGCCCAAAATTCTACATTTCATTAGGAAAACTTTATGTGTAGACAAGACATTGGGGTCTCTCCTCTCTGCTTCCATCCAACTCTGCTCATGTTAAAATCCAGATTTCCTTTAAGCAAAGCAAAGCTGTGCAAAGTTAAAATTGTCAGCGGAAAAGCATTAAAAAGCGTTAAAACACCCAGTTTCTTGAAAAGCTCTATGAAACTTAACCATAATACCTGTATGATTTCCTGTAGATATATTTGGGTTTTCTGATGTTGTGCAACTTTAATATATTTATTGCCCACCCCAGTACAGTTGGTAAATATTTTATTTAATCAGATAATATTCAGACTGTCATATATTGTTTGTGAACACGTCCTACTGCAACGACAAATGAAAGTGTGAATGGAGCTCAAATCATGGTCTCTGTTCTGCCTGGGAGGAATTTCAAAATCGTACGGGATTTTGGTCAACTACAGTGCAGCAGAACCAAGCCGTGAGCTCCGGGGCTGGTCGGGGAACTCCAGCGGACGCGGGAGGGAGCCAGCGGGGGATGAAGCGACCAAACCTGACTCGGTGACGGTAGCCGCGGCCCCATGCTTCCCCTGCCTACTATGCCTGCTATTTATAAATAAATAAAGTTAAAGAATGTAGCAGACAATAAATAATTAAGGTAATTATTACAAGGCAAATAAACAAAGAAGCTAATTAAAAGATATATATATATATCTATGTCTCGCCAAATAATTTAATTTCTACCTACATTTATTTGTCAATTGTTTTTTCGGGGGGCAGTTAATTGTATGCTTATTTATTTTTTGACCATTTTTTTATTTCTGTACTTACTTTTAATTATGGCAAGATTGGTCCTCCTTAGTAAACACATGAGATGATCAAAAATAATCATATTTGTGACTTGAGCATCTGTCCCTAAATTTTCCAGAACATCAAACCACCGTTGATCTCCATATGGAAGGCATGAGTTTCCCTCAGCATTTAGTGTTAGCATCTTATCATGGCAGGCCCAAAGCAAGGGAGTTGTTTTGTTCCAGCCAGGTACATATCAAGGGAAGTTGTTACTTTTTTCTTAAAGGCCAAAACCCCCCCCATTCCGAATTTGCGTCTGATCAGACAGGGAGTTGTGTTGGACGCGGTCGTAGCATTTAGCAATTATTGTAAGTCGATGGGGGTTATCACACCTGACACGATTTTATGCAAGGGGCCTTGCAGAGGTATATTTTAGTTGTTCAACACAGCAATTTAGGTCTGACAGGAAGAGAGGTCAGGATCCATTTTGGGGGAAAATACAAAACAAAAAATGTTAATCGCATGTCAGAGTCAGTATTTTAGTCATATATAGTAAGCGGGACAGACTCATGCAAAAAAATAAATACATGAAACATTAAAAACAATATTTTAGCCATGATAGAAGGACAGAAAACGGATAAAGTAGTGATCGTCTTTGATAAACTGCACTCTCCGTTTTTGCAAGACTCAATCTTCTTTAACAAAGAAAAAGGAACTTCAGGAGGGGAAAAAACAGATATAGTATAAAAGTGATTTTCTTTTAACCTCACAAACAAAATAAGAGGGGAAGACAGATCAGGTAAGCGCGTTGTATCTGTCTCACCTCTTTATGTAAAAAAGAAAAAAAAACTTTGATAAACTTCACAGATTTCTCTCTGAAAATCACCTCACTGTCTGAGTACGCATGTAAACCACACCATGGCCTTTATTGCTGTGTTTTTCTTTACTTTAGACGTAGATCTCATAATATTTTTAAAGGTATACTATGCAACCAGGGTTGATTTTCCAGCGAGGCTCCCCCAAGAGGGCGAAAGTAAAAGTGCACTGTCGTAAATATGCTAAGCTGTTCTCCTGGTTTCTCCGTCAAACCAGGCACGGTTGTTTTGAGCTTAGCAGACAGGCGAACGCAACGAATCAAAGTATGAATATGCACACAGAGAGAGAGAAACCATTCCAAAGTTACTTACAATCGCATCAGCAGAAACGCGAGGTCGGCATCACACTTGCAGCCCTTTTTTCTTTTAGCTCTCGCCATTCGAAAAAAGCTTGCCCGAGGTTCACCCGTGTACGACTCCTCTCTCTGTCCAGAGCCCTTTTCCTCTTTCTTGCCTGCTCCGACATGGGCTTTCGCTGTTTCCTCGCTGGTTCCGCCATGATAACTGCACAAATATCGCCACTGTGCTAGCAACGAGCATGCTTTTAACTGGGGGCGTGTAGCAGTTCTCGCCGTAAAGCAAGACCGACTCTCGCGAGACTTCTGAGCCTGTGGGTGCGGGCCGAGGGCTCCTGCAATTGCAAGTGCGGTATTTCCCCCACAGACCAGCAGGGCAGCCGAGAATACCATTGCTCAACCTGAAATGACTCATTTAATCATCCAAAACGTTATGGAACACATTAATTAACTGAAAAATGTTGCATAGTATGCCTTTAAAATAACTTTTCATGGTCTGTCCAAGTCAGATGTGGGTTATTGTATTCATTTGTGTATAGCACAGAGGCAAAGTGAAAAAAATTTGTGCAGATCCGCCCACCCCAGTCAGATCCTCTCTATACACAGTGTGACGTGGAAAAAAATTGTATCAGAGATTAAAAAGTCGTATGCAATTGGTATGTTCAAACCTTAAGGCTCCCACCTCCAGTCAGCATCTGGAAGTTTTGAAACTGAGAAAAATTAAAAAAAAAAGTCTGTTTGGCAGCAAATCTGTATTGATGTTTGCCATCACAACTTGGCATCTGGTCAGTTTGCAGCGTCTCTCCACTAGGCATGAGCCATGATGGTGGCTTCCATGATGACTTACTCTCCAATGTGTACCCAAAGACACCTGGAGGAGAAGAACAGTCACGTGCGGAAGCTGTTCCTGGACTTCAGCTTTCAACACCATCATCCCACAAATTCTAATAGGCAAACTGGAACAGCTGGTCTTCCATACACCTCTCTGCAATGGACTGATAGACTTCCTCACAGACAGACCCCAGACAGTCCGGGTCGGACAGAACACCTCTGAAGTCTTAAGCACAGGCTCCCCCTAAGGCTCCCCCTTGTCCTGAGCCCCGTGATGTTCACTCTGATGACACACGAATTCATCCCTAGGTTCACCACCAATCAAATCGTGAAGTTCGCAGACGACACCACGGTGGTGGGACTTATCAGAGGCGACAACGATCAGGACTACAGAGAAGAGGTGGAGCAGCTGTTGGGCTGGTGCAGAGACAACAACCTGATCCTGAATGTGGAGAAGATGAAGGAGATTATTGTTGACTTCAGGAAGAACTGGCCCAACCACGCTCCACTGCTCAACAGCTCAGCTGTAGAGGTAGTCAACAGCACCAAATTCCTAGGGGTGCACATCACAGACACCCTCACCTGACTGGGAACACCACCTCACTGATCAAAAGGGCACAGAGGCGATTGTACGTCCTGTGGAGGATGAGGAGAGCCCACCTGCCCCCACCCATCCACACGACCTTCTACAGAACCATCATAGAGAGAGTTCTGACGAACTGTCTAACTGTGTGCTGTGGAGGTTGCAGTCCCTCAGACTGGAAGAAGGTGAGGAGAGTAGTGAGAACTGCAGAGAGGATCATCGGGGCTCCACTCCCCTCCATAAAACCCATTTCATCCCAGCGCTGTGTGTCCCAAGCCCGTAACATTATAAATGACCCCTTATCTCCCTACCATTGACTGTTCTCTCTGCAGCCTTCTGGGGACGAGGCTTTGAAGCATCCAATGCAGGTCCATCAGATTCCAGGACAGCTTCTTTCCCACTGTCATTACACCGCTGAATGTTATATAAAATGCGGTTAAAAAAAAGCACTGAATGCTGGAAACTGTAAATATTATAACGGTCTCATGTTTACATTGATCACCCTATTTACATTTTGTCACTGATTCTTACGTTTTGTCACTGCTGCACTTTAAAAAATGGAAATGTCTTGAGTACTGTACTTAATGAAATTTCGTTTTGTATACACTCTGTTTTTAAAAAAGGACAATAAAGTCTGTCTATGTCTTCATGGAAAGAGAAATAAATCCTCTGAGTGGTGTTTTCTGACACAATGCATGGAGGAGTGTCTTTTGACACTGCATTGCGGGAGGGAGCTCTGCAGCAGTTAATTTATTCAGCTAACTGTATCCTCCAAACCCTTTGGTAATGTTAAACATCTGCATGAACATTGGTCCAAAGTTAATACTATGGTTTATGGATCAACTCTTTTATTTGGTCAATTTATAGGGAAAGATAAGTAATGGCATTCCTTTAATGAATTGAAAGCCATACAATATTAGGCATATATCTCTGCTTTTTTTTTAATTCTTCCTTATTAGTGGCATATTTCAATAATTACTTTGTGTGCAATGGTTAGAAGTATATGCAAACAGAAATGTTTAAGTTATTAGGAAAAAAATATTGTCAAACTTTTCTTTCATCTGCTGTCTACTTCCGTCTCCTTGAACAGCAGTCGGCCTCGGCAGATGGTCTGATTCTGCTGGAGGTTTTTTCCTGTTAAAGGGATTTTTTCCTCTCCAATGTTGCTACAAGCATGCTTAGGGTGAGGGATTGCCTTCGAGTCGATGTATCGATGCAATCAACCTGTTTTCAATAGATAAACCTTGAATCAATTTGACTGTATGATCTGTTTGGATTGTAAAGTGCCTTAATGTGTTGTGAATTGCGCTATATAAATAAACTGAATTTAATTTAATCTCTGTTAATTTTAGTCTTTCAGAACTTTAATTTGTTTTCTTATTGAAGATAATTTTCTATTTTTTACAGGTCTGACAACTGAGGGTCTTTATCGTGTGAGTGGAAACAAGACAGACCAAGATAACCTTCAGAAACTATTTGATCAAGGTAAACTTAGACATTTTGCTTGGATATATCTTTATAGCTACACCTCCATTAGACACTTTTCCTGTGGCTTAAACATATCTCTATGATCTGGTGAACTGTAAAGTGCCTTGAGATGATGTGTTGTAAATTGGTGCTATATAAATAAACTAAATTGAACTGAATATGCATGAAAGACTTAGATTTATTTGTCATTTTGTTTAAACAAGTGTAAAACAAAAAGAAATTTCATTTCAAACAGCTCGTCTTTTTTAAAGCTCACACATCTAGGTGATGGTCACACACTGGACACAGCTCTAATAATTTAGGACTGTTGAGATTTTGACTTATACTAATACTTTAAAAAAGGTTACATCACCAATAACTTTTTGTTCCCCTACGAAGGTGTTTTTATTTTTATAATTTTTTTTGGCCAGGCTAATTCTGTAGATGATGTGATAAGTACATTTAAAATCCTTGGAGTAGTTTTTCTGAAGCCCACTCATCAAGCACATGGTGCAATGTTGTTTCATGCAAAGCCACACTGCACTGCCACCACCAAGTAAACCTTATTGCCCGAGATCCAAGAGGAGCAATGTGGCTTTCAGCCTGGCTATGAAAATATGTAACAGGACCTTTTTACTCTCAAAACTGCTGAGGGGTTCATGTTTTTTCTGTCTGTATTTAGTTTTGTAGGTCAGAATAAGGCCTACAACCATGTTCACAACGGTATGATGTGGGGTATACATTGAGACTCTTAGCGACTTTAGAGGGCAATTTTCTTTGTACGCCTAAATCAAGGACTGATCCTGCAGTTCATGTTAGAATTCAGTGTTTCAACTAGTCACTGTCTTATCTTTGTTAATCATGCACAAAATTTCAGTGAGAAATTATGGAAAAGAATCTCTTTGCCTTTCACAGACGTGGACCGTAAGGCCAGTATCTCCAGTCTGCGCTGGAGTGGTTCAAGTGAAATTGCAAGGATGAAAGTCAGTTCCTTTAAGTTTAAGGCAATTGGGCCTAGTGCCACAACATTTTTTATTCTTGTCATAAATTTCTCTTACCTACTCTCCAACATTAACTTCAGTTAATGATCGTAAATATTCATTGTAAACGTGATGCAGTTCACCTGTGTGTAACTGAGTACGCGTTTCTAAAAAAATGTAAATCTGAATTAAAGCCGCAAGCAGACGTTGGACGGCCCTCGCGGCTCAGCATGACTTCAGCTGCAATAAAGCAGGTACTGCGCTAGTCTATGGTGTTAAAGAAAGAGTTGAATCAAATAGCAAATGACCCCCTCTTGGCACCTGATATGGCCCACCGTGTGAATACCAGGGGAAGATCCGGCCCTCACCTGAAGGACTATATATCCCCTGAATGTCTGTAGGTCCCCTAAAATGAACAAAAGCAAGTTGCTGGGAAATGGGATGTTGCAAGAGCTCCCCTGATTTCCTGAACCTGGTTTCCAGGCAACATGATCTGAAATAAGCGGAAGAATATCCATTGCTAGATGGATGTATATTTAGATTAACAGATTGAAATAAAAAAGAGACACAGAAAAAAATTGCCTTTTATTTTAAAGAATTTGTTGTTGGGTACTGTTTTTCTGTTTGTTTTTTCTCCAACCAGTTTGTTATTTGATTCTCAGCAAATGATCCATTATCAGTTATAGACTGAAAGCCCTAAAACACAGAAACCCATCTCCCCTTCCTGAGCAGAATCAGTCTGGCAGATAACCGTATAAGATTCTCTTCACTTTTACATCTGTGGTCATAAAATCCTTTTTTGCAACTGGTTTTGCGGTCTATCAATCCATCTTCTTCTGTTTATCTGGCGTCAGGTCGCATGTGTAGCAACTTCATTAGGGAGGCCCAGACGTTCCTCTTCCCAGCCACTTGGGCCAGCTCCTCCAAGAAATCCCAAGTCATTCCCAGGCCATCCGTGAAATACATTCCCTCCAGGGTGTCCTGGGACTCCCTCTGGGTCTCCTCCCAGTGGGAAATGCCCAGAACACCTCACAAGGGAGGCATCCAGGAGGCATCCTAAGCAGATGCCCGAGCCACCTCACCTGCACCTCTCGACTTGGGGGAGCAGTGGCTCTACTCTGAGTCCTCCCTGAATGACTCCTCACCCTATCTCGAATGGAGAGCCCAGACACACTATAGAGAAAACTAATTCACCTGCTTGTATCTTGTTCTTTCAGTCATGACCCAAAGCTCATGACCATAGATGAGAGTAGGAATGTAGATCGACCCGTAAATCGAGAGCTTTTCCTTTTAGCTCAACTCTTTCTTCACCACCACAGACCGGTACAGCACCCGCTTCACTGCACTAATCCGCCTGTCGATTTCCCGCCTCATCTTCCTCTCATATGACCCCAAGATACTTAACATTTCTTAACTAGGGGCAGTACATCCTCCCCAACCCGGAGAGGGAACTTTACCCTTGTCAGGCTCAAGATAATGGTCTCCGATTTGGAGGCTCTGATCCTCATCCAGGCCGCTTCACACTTAGTTGCAAACCACTCCAGTGAGAGTTGTAGATCAAGCCCTGATGAAGCAAAAATAATCACTTTATGAATAGCAGAGACGCAGTCCTAAGGCCACCTCAACACCTTGGCTGCACCTAGAAATTCTGTTCTTAAAAGTTGTATACCTTTAGGTCATTCAGAGACGAAGAAGAAGATCACAGGCTTCCAGCAGAAGAATGATCAGACAGATGGAAAGTCTGGACAGAGCCAGTGAACTGAATACATTTTTCAGTAGATTTAGTTTAGAAACAAACTCAGCATCCCTATCTTTTGCCCACAGTCACATAGACACCCTGCCTTCCTCTGCCATTGACTCTCCCTTGGTTCTATGATTTTTTTTGTCAGTCAAAAAAGAAGATGGTGCTGCTCCCTCCACCTTTCACATATGTCTCAATGGTGTCAGCCCCAGAGTACTAAAGGCATGTGCAGAGCAGCTCGTGGTATTCTACATCACCTCTTCAACATTAGACTGAACCAGGAGACAGTTCCAGTGATGTGGAAGACTTCCTGACTTAGCTAACTATATTAATAGACTTGTTGCTCTGACATCCCATATCATTGTCCCAGAGAGACTTCGGTTGGCTCACCTCAGCAAACAAACAAGCAGCTATCAGGACTCCCTGTTAAAACTGTCATGCCAGTGTCCTTATCGCCTTGGAGTTGAAGTCAAAGATGCCATCATACACCTGCTTCAAAAAACCCACTGTAATTTAGGGAAGGCAGACAGAACTGTGATGATTGTGTTCTTTGATTTATTTAGTGCATTTAATACAATTCTGCTTGACTTGCTTTCTGAGAAACTTCAGAAGAGTCAGGTGTAGGCATCAACAATTGCCTGTACTGTATCAGAGACTACATGTTTTTTGACTTAAGGGTCAACTGTCTAAAAGATTTTATTTTTAGGTTATATTGTCCAGCCCTATGACAATAGAGCTTTTTCAGTCAGAAGCTCCTCCAGATCCAGTGTCTGACAGACTACTCCAGCAGATCCTTCCTGCCTACAGCTATCAACACCTACAACTAATCAAAGAAATAGCAAAACAAAAAAGTAGCTCCTTGAGCATTTTATTTTTTACTTTGGGATTAATGAAGTAGTTTTGAATTGAATTTTACTTGTCCTTGCATTTTAAGTTTTCTTTTTTTTTTTCTTCTCATGTCTTGCCACATACATTTCTTCTAGTGGAAAGGTGTTACATTAACACAAAATGTTAGATAGGGAAATTGCCTCAAAATTAAAAACTTGAGAGGTTGTTCCCTTTAGTGTTTTGTCCTGTCTGTAAGTATTTTATGTAATAAGATTTTAAATTAAATCTTGACAATCTATGAAATATACTGCAAAAGCAAACTACAACTTTAAAAGATTCCTGAGAGATCCCCCTAAGAGCAAAGTATTTTCGAAACAATCTATGTAAATACACATTTTTGGTTGATTCTTCTCAAAATATTTTTGGAGAATATTGAATGAGATTCTCCAAAAATGAGTGTGTAAACACATCTTAGACAGGTGTGCAAACGTGGCTAAGAGCAAAATGTAAGGACCCTTGCGAATCATCTACTGATTCATCTTTTTCCTTTGGGTAGATCACAGCATTGATCTTGGGCAGATGGACGTCGCTGTGAATGCTGTAGCCGGAGCCCTGAAGGCTTTTTTTGCTGACCTACCCGACCCACTGATCCCTTACGTTCTTCACCCAGAGCTAGTGGAAGCTGCAAGTAAGACTTTAAAGACAAAGTAGATATTTAAATTCTGGTTTGTTTTTACCTGATGTTCAACTCAAGTCTAATAAACAGTAATGGTAGACAAATTCTCTATTTCTGGATAAGGTAAGAAAGTCTTGAAGGCCTTTCTGTATGTCTCCAGGAATAGTCAACTTTACATGTGAATCATAAAAAAGAAATTGAAAATATACATTTTAATCTTGCAGTACCTAACACAAAATACTAAAAACAGTGCAATATTAAACTTTTCTTCTCCAGTATATAATTTCACTCCCCAACTCACGAGCTTTGTAAATTAAAACATGCTTTATCTCCCTCTGTATTTGTGTTTTGGTTAGAAATCATGGATTACATCGAACGGGTGCAGGTGTTGCGAGAGATTGTGAAGAAGTTTCCTTCAATCAACTACCAGGTCTTCAAATACATAATTACACACCTTAACAGGTAAAAAAAACCTACATTTTGCAAAATAAGCAACAAAAAACTTTCAATAATAAACCTAGGCAAACAATGAGATGCATTTAAAGGGATCCACAATAAGTTGAACGTGTTTGCCTGAAAATATTGTACTTTAAAAAATGCATGTGACACATAAATACTCAATTACTTTAAAATGTATATATCGTTTTTTACATTTTTACCCATGGAAGTCAGCAGCAAGGCTAACAAGGCTAGAGGTGCATTCAGACCGAGCGCTGTGCACAAGGTGAGGGCGGTGGACTTGCACAGTATCCCTATGCAAACCACACGGGGACTAAGCCAGCAGTGAATCCCAGTGGTGAATCCCACACTTTTCTACTAGATAGAACTGAGGTGTTGTCAAACAGCTGCACCGTGTGGAGAGAGCGAAGTGTTGACTGCTGAATCTGAAGTTTTTTTGTGAAACCGTGTCACAGCAACCAATCAGTGACTGGTTGTGAAGTAGGTTAAAGAATTGCTGCCGAGGCAAAGCTTTTTTAAGGCAAAATGGAAACTAGTGTTATAATAATGTTAAAGGATGAAATTAGCAATGCTATAAAGAGGTTTTTAGGTGACCTTTATAAAAGCCGTTTTAATTTAGCCATAGGACTCTTCGTCTTCCTCCCATACCTTCAGCAAGGACTCTGGTCTGTCATTACCCACTCCCAGCACACCTCCTTGTAATACTACTAGGAGGTACCACCGAATCCCACCGTCATCCAGATGCAGCTCTGGGTGAACCAAAGTGTTCTACTTTTTCAGCACCTCTGGGTTTTTTCAAAGAATCCTTGTTTTCCCCAAGCCGATATAAAAGTTGTGCATAGAGAACAATGTAGCAGAGGTCTGTGTTGTTACGTTTTGCCTGTGATTTTATTGTGAGCGAGACCTTGATAAGAAATGTTATGGGGTTGCTCAGGGTAATTGCAGGAAGGCTGATGAACTAGTAAACAATGTGAAACATTTTTCCACAGTTTTATCTAGTAGCAAAATGTGAATGTGTGAGAGCATTCCACTTACTTAATAAGTTAAAAAAGCCCACTGTTATTTTCAATGCCAGTGTACGAATCTTGTGTTGTGCAGTAACTTCATATTCTGTTACAAGCACAGCACTAACAGCTGTTGGGATGGTGACATCATTGGCCAAAATTAAAAGTGATTCCATCTTAAAAACCCTATCAGCACAAACGACAGTTTTACCTGCTCAAATCAAGTATCACTGAAAAAAATATATAATTTTTATTTAATTAAAAATGATGGTTGTCCTTAGGCCTTGGTGATGAACCAGATTTTTACTGGTACCACCATTCACTACGATAACTAGGGATGGGCATCGAAAACCGGTTCCTGTTTAGAACTGGTTCCGTGTATTCCAATTCCATGGCACCGTTTGGCAGCTCGCTTAACGACTCCAGACAGCACCAGAGCCTAGCTCTGGGCAGCATGACTTGCGTTTTTTACGCAGGTTAAGCACACGGCATTCAGTAAGAAAATACGACGTGACCAGGCTCGAGTCTAGAAAAGCTAGGGCCGGGCGATAATTCAATAACGATATATATCGATCGATAGACGTGTGGCGCAATAGAAAAAAAGAGTCGATAAAAGTTCGATAAAGAAACGCAGTTTTCCTTCCTTCTCATTGTAGCCTAGCATGTAGGTTTATGCTAATCACTACTTCCTCCCAACCAATCACAATTGCGGACCCAGGCACGCCGTCACAAATCGCCGCCCTCTCAAACCACAACACAGAGCACATGAAGATGTCGCAGCAAGGGGAGGCGGAGGAAATTGTTCCAAAGAGAGGTTTTTGTAGTTCGCCAGTTTGGCAGTATTTCGGTCATGGCAAGTCGGACAAAAAACAAACCACAGTCATCTGTAAAGGAGTTGTGTAGGGAACCAGTGAAAACCAAGTCTGATAACACAACCAACTTTTTTTATCATCTCAGCCGCTCACACCCGCAGGAGTACGAGCTGTGTAGGCCCCGGCGCGGCTCTCCTCCGACGAATCTTTGGGAAAATATATATATATTTTAAATTCTGGGCAGTTTCCCTCGTAGTTCTAACAATTGATTGAAAAATGCTGAGGGGCCAGCAACTTCAAATTAATAACTCAGGTTGAAGCAGGAATGCGAGTGGTGGCCGGGGGGGTTGGTGGGGGGGGTCCATTTATTTATTTGTTATCTTTATTTTGGTCACTTTTCTGGTCACTTTAGTTTATTCTTTGTCAGTATTTAATAACATAACTCAGGTCTCCTAAAGCTACAGTGTGTAATAATTACAGGGATATACAGTCAGAAATGTAATATATTATACATAACTATGTTATTTATCATCATCTACGAGCTCAGCCTCTTAACCTTAATATTTGCGTTGCCTTAGAATTCGTTATTTATAATTACATAGGAGCGGGTCTCGCAGCCATGGAGGCAGACATCTTTGCGCTACGGCAGCGTAGAGCCAACAAACTAGCGATTGCGAGATTGCCCATTACGCTCGAAAGTAACTACGGCAAGTTGAGAGAGATGAACTGAGACGGTACTGAACAATAGATGGCAGTATTATGCCTGAGAATACTATCTGTAAAATTATCTATGTAAACAAACCTCATCACTTGAGAAGGTAGGTGATGCGGACGTCGTGGAAGACATTTTGTCCCGTAATGCTCGCCGTACTGTTGGGGGGGGAGAAGCGGTGGGGGGGAGATGTTCATGTTGCTGCGGTCTGCAGTCTGGAGGTTAGAGGTCGCTAAAAATTACACACTGTAGCTTTAAGTTATTTTTCTTTAAAACAATTCTGTTATGGTTAAAAAAGTTGATTAAATAAAGATTTAATTAGAAGTCTGTGTTTGTGTTCTTTATTATAATTAAATCATTTAGCAATATCATAAAATGTCCAGGCAGAGCTGCATATAAAATATGGTTTCAAATTTTTTCAATAATTATCGATATCGATCAATATGCATTTTTTTTATCGATAAGCTTTTTTTCTATATCGCCCAGCCCTAAGAAAAGCAAAAGAAAAGCAGTCAAAGCGATCGAAAGTTTGGTTTCATTTTAAGGATGAGAAAGATGGCAACGAGGCGCTTTGCAATCATTGCACAGTGGCAGTTACATCCGTGGGAGGAAATGCATACAACATGCAGAAACACCTGCGCACACAACATAGCATACATTTTAACGAATGCTGTGTTTTTGATGCTTCTGGACAGAAGCTAAAGTTACGACTAGCATGGAAGGCAACTCTGGTGGTAAGTAGCTAGTTTTATATCACTGGCTGTGCTTAATGTGGTTCCTAGTAAATCATATGCCATTTCTGAAAATAAACCAGTTTCCTACCTCTCTGTGGGGTTATTAAGGGGGTGTGCCTTTCTTGTTAATCCAGCCCTTCATTGCTTGCATGTTTACTTATCTGGAATTCTTACCAGGGCTCGATGTTAACCATCCCCCGAGGCAAGTAGTTTTTATTGTTGGAAGAGTACAAATTTCATTGCATTTGCCCGTTGGGCAAGTGCAATGATCGCAAAAAAAAATATTTATCACTCAAAATTACTTTAAAATCACAGACATTCGATGAAAACGACCCAGAAGCGTTCCCGGCGCCATTTTTGTTGTTTTGTACACATTCTTGCGTAATTTGGAAAAGCAACTGTGACTCGACTTGTGATTTATCTTAAGTTTTTAACCTGTCAAGTTTTTTTTTTTTTAGATTGTTAACATTACAACTTATATTTTTCCAAGCACACAACAGTTTAAAGCATAGTTTAGTTTGAAAAGAATGTGCAGGAACCGCTTGGTTCGACTGTCTCGGTTCGATTCGCGTGTGTTGCGTTCGGTTCATGCGCTGCTCCTTTTTCTCATAGGCGAAGCGTGTACACTCCAGAGCAGAAGGTGGCGGTACTGCAACCAAAGCCAACCACCAGTAGTAAACAAGAAGAAGAAGCGAAGCAGCGTAGCCGGGTGTAGCAGAAAAAAATTGTTTTGGAGAATTGTGTGGGTAGGGCGAGTGGGAAAGAACAGGAGTTGGAAGACGCCCCAGCAGCACTTTATAGGTCTGCTGTATGGGACCGCTTTGCATTTAGAGTGACCTACGATGACGGCAGAAAGAAAGTTGTGGATAAAGACAGTGTGCAAGCATTGTGCAACATGTTTTGTTTATGCTAACAGCAACACGACCAACATGTCAGGCTAACAATCAACATATACCGAACCGAAAACCGTGACCACAAAACCGTGAACCGAACCGTGGATTTTGTGAACCGTTTCATCCCTAACGGTAATGTCCGCTGGCCGGTGTCAGGGCTTGCCGGTGCACTGGTGGAGCTCGGGGTCTGGGGGTGGATGCCCGGGTGGCTACTGGCTCATTCCTGGCGTCTCCGCGGGTCCTGGCCGGCCAGCGCCTTGCTGGGGCTCCTGTCTGGGGGTCGGGCGCCCTTGGGACCTCGGATCCCTGGCGCCCAGGACCAGATTCACTTCAGGGTGGCCGGCTGCCGGCACAGCCCGAGGACTCGTCCCCGCGGCTCCATGGGGCGCCGGCATGGCGGTGTCATGGGGGCTTCCTCAGGGCTGTCTCTCCTCCTCCCTTGGTGGGGGTCTGATTTCCTGGGCTGGCCCCTCCTTGATGCCTTCCCTTTTGGGGTTTCTTTGGGCGCCTGGGGTTTTGGGTCTCCCGGCGCTGGACTCAGTGCTCTGGGGGTGCGCCTCTTCGCTCTCCACAACCACTATTGAGCATTGTTTTCTATGGATAAACTTTACGTATAAAGTGCACCCTCACAAACAACTACAGGTGCTTGGTTCCAGGTACTCAGAGATTCACTTCCAAACAGAAACCCCACATTCATATCTTCAGGTAACACAGAGTACATGTCAGACTTAATAATGCTACTTCAGCGATAGTGTCAAGGTGTTGCTTTATTGTATGTCCCGTACCATGTCTTTCAGTTGTGTTGTTCTTTTTACATATCGTTACAGGTGATGAAGCAGACTGAAAATGTTTTGTCATTGTCTCGTTTCTATCTCTTTCTTTCATGTTTTCTCTTTTTTTTTTCTTTTTCTTCTTCTGTTTTCCTGCTCTATTTACATTGCAGTGTCCATATAAACTGTAAAACTCCCTGCATAATTATAATAAAGCAATTTATATGCATGAAACAAGTGAAGCAATATGGCAATTGCCATACTGCTACACTTGTGAAAGTAAAATCTGTTGGGCTCTTTTTGGCATCAAGACAATTATTCTTATTGCCACATTGCAAGACAGGACACTGTTAAAAAAAAAAAAAAAAAAAGAATGGGAGGATAGAGATAAAATGAAGCAGAACGAAGAACAGTAGTGTCTTATGTCCTCCTGTAGTCTAAGCCTATAGCAGCATAACTATAGAGAAAACTCAGGATAACCTGAGCCACTCTAACTATAAGCTTTATCAAAATGGAAAGTTTTAAGCCTACCCTTAAAAATAGACAGGATGTCTGCCTCACGGAATAAAAGTGGTAGTTGGTTCCTGATAACTAAAAGTTCGACCTCCCTTTCTACTTTTAGAAATGAAGAGATGCTAAGATAAGAGAGATGTGATCTCTCTTTTTAATTTTCATTAGAATTCTGGCTGCAGCATTTTGGATCAGCTGAAGGCTTTTAAATACAGTCTGTGGATTTCCTGATAGTAAAGAATTATAATAGTCAAGCCTCAAAGTAACAAAAGCATGGACTAATTTCTCAGCATCACCCATGGACAGGATATTTCTAATTTTTGCAATATTTCACAGATGAAAGAAGGAAATTCTAGACCCTCTTTGATTTTGGATTTAAATGACCGGTCCTGATAAAAAATAACAGATTTTTATAATAGATTGTTTTACATTATTATCTAAGATCAATTTAATCCCATCCAAATCAAGTGATTAATTAATCACCCTTTTTTTTTTTTTCAAAGACTCAGGCCCAAAATTAACCTTAACATTACCAGAGTTGTTTTTACCATATTGCATTTGATAGGTGTAGATTTAGAAATTTACTACACTCCATTACTCTCTTAAGATGTGATTCGACTTAGCCCGGTTAAGTCGACTTTTTTGTCAACCCCCTTGCTAACACTACAGGACTACATTTACTGATAATGCATTGCAGTGTAAGGAACATGGTGACTTCTGTGTAGCAATATCTGTTCTGAATGTAATGAAAAAAACAGTTAAAAGATTTTTGCTGTTTTGTTTGTAAATAAAAAAATATTAATTCTGATAAAGTGTATTCTTAGAACCTAATGGTGGATCCCTTTAAAAAGCAAGCAGACTGAAGAACGTTACTAAGCATGTGTTTAATATATCTGATTTTCATGTAGACATTATATATGTGCAACTACAGCACCAGGTAAAATTTGAAAAGCAGGAGGAACTGAAAATTAATTTGAAGAGTTGTAATTAAAGCTGACTTTCCTTGAACATAAATGCGCCTCCACATGCAGTGTCCCCTCTAAATTGCATGGTTGCGCATTGCTCGTGCATTCTCAGTGCACAAAAAAATCTGTTGAGCACATAAAATAAAATCCAAACAAACTGTGAATCTATTAGACAAATAACAATTTTTCTGTTTCATTTTGAATCCACGTGTCATTCATTTCTCAGATTAAAACCATCTATGACATTGAGAAACCACTGTTTTTTTACACTCGACATATCATAGAGAAATGGCGAACAGATATTTTTACTTGCTATGCTAAATTGAATATATTCTTTGAAAAAATTAATAGTTCCCTATTCATTCATCTAATTTTTATTTCGTTTTGGGGTCTTGTAGCATCTCATCTTTAATTGCAATCATAAATTACCTCAGCCTGCTGAACACTGGATGAGCATCTTTACTGAAAATCAGCTGTTCTGGCACACTCTTAATTTTCCATTAATGATAATTACTACATTTAAAAGCTGTTTTTGGATAAATATGTTTAACAAAATGCGAGTGTCCTTTAATAAAAGTTCTGCAAATGTATAAATAAATCCCAAAGATGCATGAATGAATAATCCAACATCAACAAGAATATGTGGTGCCCTTAATTATCAGTCTACGCTTCCAGGACAATGAAACTCTCACTGCTTGCTCTCAACATGCGCACAGTTTAAGAGGCACCTGTCCAGCATGCAGTGGGATGCTCCCTGTGTCTTTTTTATGCTGTTTTTTCTAAATTCATGTACATGATGAAACAAAAGCATAAATAGCGGTCAATCAGCACATTCTCAGATATGGTGTCTTAGGTGTGAGGAGCTAAAGGATATCTCACAGCTTCTGGAAATTTTTACTATATTTCAAACATTCAGTGCTGATTATAAATTATTGAGTTTAAGGAATCATGTCAAAACAGCATCTAGAAAGCATCTTGAAACGGGATATTTGGACAATCACTAGAAATCTAGAAGGAAGGACATTTTTTCCATTTTAAGTCAGATTTGTTCATATTCTCTTAAAATTAATTAAGGTTTTTTATTGATGGATATTAACCATGAAATGTATATATTGTGTAATTACAAAATTATTTGACAAAAAGTTACAGAAATTTATAGGGTGTTACAAGCTTCAGCATACATAATGAATAATGAGAACCTGCATCATAATGTAATAATCTCTAAGTAAACATGTAGTAAATGAAGATGCTTGTTCACTGGTATTCTTTTTTACAAATTTTTATTCAAAAAAATAAGTTGTTGCAACGTTTTGAAATTCAGTCTGTTGCGCTTTTTTGATATTAGTTCTCCAGCTGTGGAAAACACGGCACAGATGAAGCTGGAGTGCACAAAAATTTTAAGGCCAGGCGGAAGAGGTTTGGATAAACCGTCCTTTGGTTTTTCCAATATACAAGAGGATCCTGGGACCTCGCAATATTGCCCTCTGCCATGTATCTCTGCACCTCAAGGATGGCATCAGCTGTGGCACTTTTGGTCTGCCTCCCCACTTCGAGATCAAAATGTTCCCAAAGGTCATCTTAAAAAAAAAAAAGGAAAAAAAAGTATTTTAGTACATGATTTACAAACAACAAAGAAATGATGCTCAATATCATGCATGAAGTGGGGGCAGACAGCTGTTGTGAAGATGTTCCCGGCTGGGGCTCATTTGAGCTTCCAATTGAGGCACATTCTGTCCGCAGTCTGCTGTACTTCCATTTTTACTCGTTCCCGTTCCTCCTCGTACGTTTTGGCCAACAGTTGTTTGATGGTCTGAAAACCACACCAAGTCAAACCAGAAGAAAATCAATATATTTAAAATAAATTTGGTTAATAAACTACCACTTTAGATAATTTCCACACAAACCTCTCTGGTTGGCAAAACATATGAGGGCTCAAGGAGCTGAACCAGCTTCATTCTCCACAACAGCGAGGGGCTGGCAGTCCTTTACAATGAAATTAGGCACAGCCTCATCAAGCATCTGCTTCCTGGAAGCTTGATGGTTAAAAATGAGAAAGTGTAAATTATTCAGAATTATCAATAAAACAAAGTCAGTAAGTTGTAAAATACCTGTATACCTGAGTTCATCATGGGTGTATCATGGATTTCACGCTCATGCTTGGCTCTATAATGCCTCAGCATTGAGGAGGTGCTGTTATTTAAATATGCAAGCTCTGTTGAGCAATTGCGACATTTAACCTGCAGAAAATAACACAAACAGTAAACTAAAGGTCACTTTGAAATGAATTTCTACTCAGAAAATCAAGTGGAAACTCTGAGAGGAACAGGATGAAACAAGGAAATTAAAACAAATACCTTATTTTCCGAAATGACATCAAAGTGGTCCCACACGGCAGAAACCTTTCTTTTTGCTTGAGGAAGCTCCATAATTTTTGATGAATTTTATATTCGCAAAACACGCAAGATTGTTTTGGCAGATGCATCTCGTTGGCAGATGCGCTTCCTTATTAAGGTTTGTCAATCAGTTCGAAACATCGGTAAATCACGGAAAATCACGTGACCGAAACAGTTCCTGTATCGGTCACGTGATTTACCGTAGCGATACACACGTCGACACAGGTTTCGCTCTATGAGACCGACACATGCGCCGACGCATCGGTGTTGCCCGACCCATGACTAATAAGTAGGGTGTGGGAAATAAGTAGTCACTAGCTTTTTTCAATTAAAAAGGAAGATAGAGAAAATACTGTTGACAAAGGATAAAGTAAAAAAGCTCATAGGATGTTTTTTAAGTTCCATTTAATTCAATTCAATTCAGTTTATTTATACAGCACCAATTCACAACACGTCATCTCAAGGCACTTTAAAATTCAACCAGATCATACTCAGAGCATGCTTGTAGTGACAGTGGAGAGGAAAAGCTACCTTTGGGACCTTAAAAAGCTGTTTACACTTTCCCTAGAAGGAATATTGTCTTCAAAGCTAGCTCTGGCCAACTGCCACTTCTCCCCGACACTGTGCTCTGTCTTCCCTGTTTTATTGTTTGCTGTAAACAAATATAAGTGAGAAAGAACACATAAAAATATCAAACAATAATGACGCCCCTTTTTGGTACTCCCAAACTTATAACTGGAAGGGAAGAGAAAGAGTATCAAGTAAATAAAGCACTTTGAGTCCTATCATAATAAACACACTTTTATGTTTTGTACAGCTATTAGGGACTTAATTTAGGAGCCTGTTGTAAAAACCAATGCTGACTTAACCATGTTGATCATTTACATTGGGATACTTTGATAGAAAAATTTCAGTGAACACTTTTTAAGTTTCTAAACATAAAAACACCTCAGAAATGTATTTCCCAAATGCTAAACAGGTTTATAGTGAGCTGTGATTCAGATGTCCTATACCTAAACTTGTATGTTTGTGCTTGCATAAGTTGTCTATTGACAATGTTTTCTCTAATCATTTTGAAACTCTTCCTTTGTCAGGGTGAGCCAGCACAGCAAGACTACGCTTATGACAGCTGACAACCTGTCCATTTGCTTCTGGCCCACTCTAATGCGCCCTGATTTTGAGAACAAGGACACACTGTCGACTACAAAGCTGAACCAGGCAGTCATTGAAACTTTCATCATGCAGAGTGACTATTTCTTCCATGGAGGTGAAATAGCAGAGAGCTCCAGCAGTGAGGGGACACCACCAGCACATTGCCACAACATGGTGGAGACGCTTCTCCCCCTGCAGCTGCCCCCACCTCTGCAACCACAACAGATACACATTGCACCCTGATCCCACTCACTAAAGACACAACTGGCCATTTTTGGACATTAGGAGTTATTATGTGCTTCCAGCTGCAATCTTCAGGAAATGCTGGCTGTCATAATTGGCTCTTTGAATTAGTGGCTGGTTGATATCAGCAAAATACCTTAATAACCATCAGTTTATATTTTTTTCTTCTACCACTGGTCATCTTCTTTTAACTATTGGTTATGCAATTCATGTCACATTTTGGAATGCATTGTTTAGATCTTATTTCACAGTGGCTGAATACAGTGATGAATTACCTGGTCTGAATGGGCACATAGGATTTTTTTGGAGTTAGACATAGTTTCATGGAACACCTAGAACCTTTTGGGGTAACAATTCAATTGTCTTCTTCTTGAGAAATTAGATCAGGATGTTTTTGCCATGCTCTGCTTAACAGCTCCTGAGCACAACTTAAAGGAAGTTAAACATTACAACTGCTACTCTAACCTCTAAACTCTGACACTGAAACACCGACCAAGGGGATTATAGTCTTCCTGCAAATTTTGGTACAGGTTATGTAAGCTTTGGTTACGGATGAGACTCAACATTAAAACTTAGAAACAGAATTTTTGAATGCCCTGCACCTTAAAAAAAAACAACAAAAAACTCTGGGTTTTAACACTAAATGACTTGATAAAAAATACATTTCCCACTACACAACCTTAAAGGACAGTCAATGTATGATTATATCAATAGTCCATGTAGTAAGTCCATGTCTATTTGCTTGTATTGTTGTTATTTTATATATTATGTAGCATCTGATTTATATCCATGTTGTGCGTCTGAGCGGGTGTTGTTATTATGATGCTGATGATATATCTGATATGTCATTTGTATTAATTTACCTGTGGTCTGTATTTCAACCTGTCTTTATCTTCTCATGAGACTAAATGGGGCACAAAAGGGAAATGAGATATAAACATACAGACATACAGGCTGATAGCAAACTGTACAGGAGTACCAGACTACAGAACATTATTGCCGAGTGGTTTCATTTCTGGTTAGATTCTCACTCTTTAGCGAAGACCACTCATGTCTTCTACATATTAGGTTAGACAAGCAGTGTCCCTGCCTACTCATTTCTTTCACTTTATGTGCTGTTTGTCTGAGAAACTGCATGTTTTCTTCTACCTAATTAAAAAAAGACATCTTCACAAAATTAACTGAAAAAACTAAAACATAAGCCTTTGCTAGGATCTGCAAGACTTTATCTGGCTTTTTAAGGGCAATATTTCAACTTAAGATGTTAATGTTTGAATTGTTTTTTGTTTATGGGAGAAATCAAGTCTTTATAAAACAAATTTCTACATATAAAATGGGTTTTCCATGAATAAAGGAAAGAGGTATATATCTCTATATTAAAAAATCGAATTCTCTCAGCAGCACGATTTTCTGATGCAATGAATTACCGCAGTTAACTCCATTCTAATCTGTCGTGAACTCCAGGTATCTGTAGAAACACTATCGTATTGTTCTGATAATTTGAATTTGAGCACACATTTGGGCTGAGGGGATTATAACTTTCCAAAATCTACATCCATATTCTTTTGATAACAGGATAAAACATTTATTATGGCGTATTTTCTCAATCTTTTGTCCATCTCAATAATAAATGTTGTTGCTGCTTAATAGATATATTACTTTATTATTTTACAACTTGAAAAATGTATCAAAAATCTGCTATTTTCCTTTTTTTTTTCTCTAACCTTTTCTGAAAACTTTGTAATTTTGTGGTACTTATTCTCACTTGGATCTACGTTTTAAAGGGAAGCTTCTAATTCAAAAATCACTAAGACTTTTTCTGTAAGAGTTTTCAGTATGGAGATTGTTATATAGAATATAGTTGCTCAGCAGAAGGTGAAAATGACTTTGAAAGAAAGCAATATATTTATTTTTTATGGCTCATTAGTTCTAAGTTTTATTTTTTTTTGGGGTGATTTTTTTAAATACATTTTCCTGCAACTTTTTAATTCTAAATAAGACAAATGGAAAAGTTTCACAGTTCTGGAGCCTCATGTATAAACCATATGAATTCAGAAAAAACATTGCGTTGAAATATTTCACTAACAACTGGGCATGCTTAAAAGATGTTTGATAATGTGTTGTAATTTACACCAACCTTTTACCTGCAGTGAAACCATGTGACAGTCGACACAAACTATGAGAGTACTAAAGCTCTCTGATATTCAATTAAATATGCAAACTCCAATCTGTTTTTATTGCAAGAAGCATAAAGCCTCATGTTTTTTTTCCATTAATTTGCGCTTTTATGGATTAAACCTTGAGAGATGAAACATCAATCATCACCAACATTAATCTCGTACAATATATTAATTTCGAAAAATGATCGAAGAAACCTTTGTCAAATGTAAACTTGCTCTAATTTTCATGTGTAGATTAAAATGCACATTCTGTGGGGTGCAGTGCATGTACAGTAAATAGGGCAGTAATATATCATTCTCACTGGTATGATATTGCAGACAAGCCTGGTACGATGATCCCTCAGGTGGAAAAGGTGTAGACAATCAGACACGCATCCTTATGTTACTGGACAAAGTTGCACGTGGCTTTCAAACTTCAGATGAATATGACTAAGGGAAAATTTCAGAGTAGCATGTTTTCTCTGATTGCACTGCTCTGCTGGTACTTAATTTGTTGCTTATCTGATTTAGAGGTGAGTTATTTTGGAACTCTGCTGATTCTAATGTAACAGAAAAAGATTTAAAGGAACCATGATTTGGCTGTGCTACTTCAGTTTTTCACTTTGGTTGAGGGCCTTCCAAGTGGAGCATTTGTTTAGAACCCAGTGGCCATGCTTATTTGGACATGCATGAGTTTTTCAGGTATCAGTGCCACTTTGTATATTTATTTGTTGGCTGCAACTGGATATCAAAGCCGTCCCTTTAGTTGTGCTAAATTTCGCGTAAATAAGGATGTACAAATAATTAGTTTGCAGTAATGTGATTACGTGGTTTGGATTTTACTACCTCTGCCATTTAGTGTGAAAGCTGTGCACTCATGAGACATGAGGCCTCTAAAGTACCAACTCTGATTCATGCTCATCTTTTTTGTCTGGTGATAATTGGAATAAAAATAATAATGCACAGCCCTGAAAATATTTAAGAATAAAAACAGCTTTATTTAGCATGTTATATTTTTTACATTTTAAATAAATAATTCTTAGATTTGCCTTTTTAAACCATCACCATGGTTTTTACATTGAAAGGTTATATATTTTTTTTCTTGATGAAACAATGGGGGCAAAATCGTTCTAATCATAACATGCAGTTCATAAAAATGAGCTATACACATATTTATCATTGTGGTAAGTCCTGCTTTTTTAAAAACAGTCCAGTGACATGCAGTTTCTGCTGCCTTTGGAACCTTTTAACTCTTACTAAAGAAAAGTAAATCACAGCACATATGTAAACATATTTTGTTGGAGATTTTTTTTAATCTAGTATGGTTTTTTGGGGGGTAAGGCATTATGTGTCTTTTGGGCTTTGTTCCTTTTTTCCTGTCTGTATTGGTCAAGTATATACTGTCCTGATAGACATTGTGGAAACAGTGTTCAAAGATCTTCTGTCAGATGGGTTCCTGGTTAAATTATTTTTTATTGATAGTTTCTAAAAAGATTCTGAAATGTTTTTCTAAATAGGTTTCATGCCTTAATTTCTGCAGTACTGCCAACAATTTATATGGAAAAGACACAATATAATAAGAGGGCAAACTGGGAAGGTGGAAGAAGGGGTAAAATGTATAAAAATATTTGGTTTTCTAATTTGGTATCAGACCTCTCATTAAAGGGAAAGAAAAAAGACAAAACCTTTCTCTACCATTACAAGTCTTACAAAAAGGATATTTGTGATGAGTTTCAAATTAGTCTCAGAAAAATGTAAACATTTTCTAAAATGTGATGCTAAATATGACTGTTATGTGTAATTTGCAGGACAGTAGCGGAAGAGATTAAATGATACGACAGAGTCCCCCTTAAGATTTGTTTTTTTAGGGGCCACCCCCAGCTGCTACATGCTATAAGGTAATACTGAGCTGCTCATCTTTAGTTTTCAAACAATAATTGAATGGTTTTTATTTACATATTGTTACTGTTTCCCTTTATCACCAGTGTACAAACTATTGATAGTCATTATAAAGGTTTTCAGGAATAAATAACATCTTAAACACTTCCTTGCAACTGTGTTTGTAGAAGTTTTTCTTAAAGGGGCACATAAACCGATATCAACATAGCTATAGAGATACGGTACTTAGGATAACCGAAGCCTCTTAACTATAAGCTTAATCAAAAAGGAAGAATTTTAGCCTAATCTTAAAAGTAGATAGGGTGTCTGCCTCATCAACCAAAACTAGTTGATCCCAAAGGAGAGGAACCTAATAACTAATATGTCCCTCATTCTACTTTTAGAAATTCTAGGAACAACTACAAGGGTATGAAGGGTAAAGTCAAAATAGAAGAAATATGATCTCTTTAATTTTCATCAGAAATCTCACTACAGTTTTGGATCAGCTGAAAATTTTTGAAATACATTTTTGTATTTGTTGCCTTGAAGGAACAAATGCATGACTAGTTTCTGGTAATCCTAAAGAAACTTACCCATTAGATAGCCCAAAGGGATGTCTTGAGGACATAAAAACCTGGATGATTTTAAATTCCCTGCTTTTAAATGAACACACCCCTTCTAAGTGGAGCATTTTTTAGTACTGTTGTCTTGCAGTAAGAACAGGGTAGGTTTGATTACTGACCCCATGCATGCGTGGGTTCTCACCGGCTTCTCCAAGTATGACTCCAAGGTTGATTGCGTCTCTAAATTTTAATTAGTTATGTGTCTGTGTGTTGCCCTGTGATTGAGTGGTGACCTGTCCAGGGTACACAATTAAGCCCATAGACTGCTGGATATAGGCACCATCCCCACTATGACCCATGAAAGATGGATAAATACACATAAAACAGAATATATTGTCTTTAGACCAGAATCTGAAAAATAAGCAGATTGGTCAATCGTCACATCTTGATGGCATAAATTGGTCAAGTAAATTGGTGTTTGTAGAATGTTTTTCTTTTATCTCCATAATATTGCAACATGAATAAATTATATTTCTA